CTTTTGCTTTTTAATGTAACCCCTTACTTTTATATGAATTCATAATGGGTTAATTCAATTTTTAGTCTATTAACTATCACCTTGATTTCATTTTAGTCTAGAAACTATGTTTTATTTCTAAGTGTTTTATTGACTTTCGGATTCATTTCAATTTCATCTACCTGGTTATCTTTGACGGAAAACTTACTATTCTGTTAGAGAACAGTTAGTCCTCTAACTATATTTGTTTTGATCTTTTAGTTCTTAAATTTATATTTGTTGTAAAAATAGCTTTTATACTTAAAATTATTATTTTTAGGCTATGATACCAGATTTTTATTCGGGTTTTCAGAACTTAATTCAGACTACTACTAACTAATGAATAACTGATAATATTCTAAAAATAGAAACAATTAATGAAAATACCCTAAGAAGAATTAAAGAAATGAGAAAATCTCTTTTTCAAATCGTAAAAATGTATAATAGAATAATTCTACAACTAGAAAGTGATATAGATAAAAAATTTTATAAGATTTAGACACAACTAGAAAGTGATTATTTTTGTTAGTAGTTTAATAGGTCTAATTCCACACTAACTAAGCTTAACATATCCACTATTTATTAGTTAGTAGTAGTCTGAGTTAAGTTCTGAAAACTTGAATAAAAATTCAGTATCGGAGCCTAAAAATAATAATTTTAAGTATAAAAGTTATTTTTACAGTAAATATAAATTTGAGGACTAAAAGATCAAAATAAATATAATTAAAGGACTAACTGTTCTCTAACATAATAGTAAGTTTTCCGTCAAAGATAACCGGTAGATGAAATTGAAATGAATCTGAAAGTTAATAGACCACTTAAAAATAAAATATAGTTTCTAGACTAAAATGAAATCAAGGTGATAATTAATAGACTAAAAATTGAATTAAGCCAATTCATAATTCAAAACATGAGTATCAATAAGAATTTGATTGAATTGATATTTACTAATTAAAAAAATCTTAATTCGAAGTTAAAGTCAAAAGTTCAAAAATATGTAATATCAAGCAACTAACTTTTTAATGTATAAAAAAATATATTAGGAAAAAATCTACTTATAAAAAACATTTGCTAAAGTTACAGTTAGGTTGAACAATCTCTTAGATCAAGCAAAATAACTGTTTTCTAAATTTAAGTGGTGAAACAAATAAACTTTGAGACCATGAAATCTAAATAATGTTGTAAATCTAAGTATTTTAGCCCTATATAATTAATACTTATTACCTTAAATATTTT